CTTAGGATGCCGTCAGCCGGACAGTGTCGGCTGGCGGGGCCTCGGAGGAGGGCCTTCTCTGGCTGCTCCAACCCTGTGGAATCAGCTACCCCCAGAGGTCCGGACCTCATCCACCCTCATCGCCTTCAGAATAGCTGTTAAGACCTGGCTGTTCCGGCAGGCCTGGGGCTGTTGACCTTATTATGTAGGGTCCAGCCCCACTCTGAACATATGCGTGTTGGAGAATTTTTTTAAAAAAATTATTTTTAATTTTATTTTGTTTGTCTTCTTTCTTGTTCTGTGTAAGCCGCCGGGATTGGGTGGCCTATAAATCTAATAAATTAAATATTATGATTGAGATGAGGTTAAGATACATTTGGGATGTTTATGAGAGTTCTAGAGATACCTACTTTTTATCACACAGCTACGAACACAAGGAGAGAAAATGAGATACATGATGAGTGATACACAACGAGTGATACGCAAGAAGAGAGGCAGCCTCACATGGCCTCTCTTACAAAGACAGCTTCTTACAGTAACCCTTCTGACTAATCCTCAATTCACCATCTTGGTTTGCAGCCTTACATTGGCTGGTCAGCTTTAAATCATCATTACCCTGACACTCCTTCCATTTAAAGTTGAACAGCTGAATACTTTAACATATTCCCGATGCTTTCTATTTATATTATGTCCTCGCCTCCTGCTTTGGTTACTACTGTGACTGCTACAAATGCTGCTACTATCATTATTACTATTGCTTTTCCTACGTTCATTATCTACTGATTCTGTACACTCTGTCTCATTAATCTCCATTAAGTTTTGTTTATCATCTCTTGGCTGGATATCTTTACTTTCTCTTTTCACTAACCCAATCTCCTCTCTTTGGTTTATCTGCCTACCTGTCTTTCGCTTTAACTTCGGCTTCCTCCATTTATCTCGTTCCTTAGGCAATGTCCATATCTCCTGGTGATTACCTACTCTACCCACCTACTCTAACCCCATTTGCAGTGAACCGCTCAGGAGGTATAACTTTCTTGCACCATTCAGGTCTCCTAGATATAACACTGTTTGCTTGCCTTGTGTATTTTGTTCGTAGCTGTGTGGTAAGGGATTTCTTCATGTGTATCAGTGGTGGGTTTCAAAAATTGTTCGAACCTACTCTGTGGGTGTGGCCTCCTTTGTGGGAGTGGCTTGNAGTAGGTTTCACACTTAATGTCCAAATCTCACTTTATGTCTGCTTTATCCCCCCCCTTCTAGACTCTTATTAATACCCACAATTGAGTCTAGCCTGTTAGATTAAAAATACAAGCATGCAGAATACAGAATAGCAAATTAAAGCACATTTTATAGCACATCTGGCTTTTGGCAAACTACATTCATCACAAACCATTGCTTCACTTAAGAACTGCAGCGTTTGCTTAATGACTGTAACATTTGCTTTATAATCAAGGTATTCATTTAACAGCTCTCAAAAAAGTCATAAAATCATTTTATGACCATTACAAGATACTACTCTAATGGGCATCATATGTCAAGAACTATTTGTACTTCAGTTTGATTTTAGCCTCCCATTTTGTT